ATACTGTTCTCCATTTACACACACACACACACACACACACACACAGCGTGAGCAATGGAAGTTCCCTTGCGCAACTATACACACACACACACACAGCGTGAGCAGTGGAAGTTCCCTTGCGCAACTAAGGTGCCTCAACCAAGAGCTGGAGGACTAGCTTCTAGGCTGTTAACTCCACAGCATGCTCCCAAGATGATAATTCACCAATGATACCAATGGTGGGGGAGGCTATAATGTGGACCAGCTTCAGGCATTTCTACCACCACGTCATGAATGAAAAGTCCTGAGGGTCCTACCCCAGATGCAGCTTTACAGATCCAAGGGCAATTCCGTCTTCATGCCTGCCACGGGGTGGATGTGCCTGGCCTCCTTAGAGACAGGGCATTAAGCCTTTCAGGCCTCTTAAAACATGTTCCACCCTGTGTCTCGGTTCCTCGGACCCAGAGTCTCTCACTACACCCCTTCTCCAATACCACAGTCCAGCATAGTGGCTGCAGTCACTACCAAATCCCCTGTTCATGGGGCAATAAGACCTAGTGGCCAGAGTCAATAGCAAACACACACACACACACACACACACACACACAGTTCTCAGGGCAATAAGTCCTAGTGGCCAGAGTCATTCATCATAACTGTAGCGCCCCCTTGGGAGTTAATGGGAGTGGGGTAAGGGGACCTGGGATCACCCTCTCCCAGAGCCCTGTCAGTGGTGAGCCTGGCGCACCACTAGCTCAGCAGGGAATCCGCCCAAAACATGTTGAACTGTCAGGGGCCTAACTTCCTGCTTCTGCTACTTCCTACCAATCTCACAGCTGTCGGCTTCCTCTCCAGTTTCCACTGGTCTGAGAGCTACTCCAGCCATTCCCTGGTGACTGGCCTCTGTGCTCCAGTCTGTCCGTCGCTCTTCCTCCAGAGCTCTGGCAGTACCTCCTTCCTCTGCAGTCATAAGTCCTGACTGGGCTGCTCCACTGGCTTTATACCGCTCCTCCAGCTGCAGCATGCTCAGCAGGGCTGGGGGGGTGGGGCTCTCTCAGCCAGGTTGCTCTGGTTAATTCTTTCAGGCCCAGTGCGGGATTGGTACACCCCATCACAAGGCCCTTTGTCTGCTTCATCTTTTTGCTGAGACTCCCACCATTTGGGGTGGGTTTTGTGAGCTGCACATTTGTGCGCAGAGAACTAGAGAAAGCAGCCACCACATGAATTCTTAATCGTGATTTCTCCCCCACCCGCGTGGGTCCACATCAGAGTTCCATGTAAGCTATGCATGTGTGCGGCTGCTCAGGAGAAATTCCAATGCTGCCCAGCTGATTAGCAGCGCGTCCACAGCTAGGTTTTGTGTTTCTACTGGGGGTGTACATTCGCACATGCCTTGGTGCACACAAAAATTATTCTGCACATGGATGGAAAGGAATAAAGGGAATATTGGTCCACACACATCCTGCACAGACCTTCCCATCTCTTCTACGCATGTACAAGCAATGGGAGAAACCAAAGCAGGCAGATTTCTCCCTCCGCCCGCTGTATTCATTGTTTTACCAAGATTTTACACACCCAGACTTAGAAGAAACAAATCTATATTTTGTAATTCCAAGAACTGTAAATTTGTGTTTTGATGGAACAGAGAATACAGAACCTCTTATTTAGCATACAATTTGGTCAATATTAGAATTTTGCTAAAACCGATCAAGGTGGAAGAGAAATTTGCCTTACCGTACACTTGAGCTTTTCAGAAGGATCGTCCAGTGATTAGGATGATAGCCAGGGGCTCAGTAGATCTGAGTCCATTTCCTTACTCTGCCACAGACTTCCTACCCAACCATGACCAAGTTACCTAATCTCACTCTGTCTCATTGCCTCATCTATAAAATGTGGATCATATCACTTTCCTAGGTCCCAGAGATGTTATGAGTATAAGTATATTAAATTCTCCTGGGGGAATTGTGTGCCAAAAACTTAAAAATGCTGCCACGAAAATTGAAAACTCTGCGCACAATATTTTAAAATTCTGCATGTATTATTTCTTAAAATATAATTATTCATTTTCATTTATTTTGGTAATTTTATGTAGACAACAGTACAAATGAGGGAGAATGGAATAGGGGAACAGTGGGGGAAATAGCTAACTCTCTATCTAATGGTAACATAGCTAGTATTGATCCTTTACTTCTAATTATTAACCAACAAATATATTCAGCCGGGTGCACAGTGTTACATCATAGTCAAAGAGCAAGTGAGGGCTGGGGACTTAAACTCGCAATTTACATTGATTACTGACCATCTCCAGAAAAGTCAGTAGCAAACATGGACCACATTTGGATAGGAAATTTTTTCAGTCGAAAATGTGAGACCAGTTCTAACCATAAACGTACTATAAGCATTTATAAGGCAATACAGCACTTTACAACAAGGCTCCTTTCCACCACTCTGGCAATGTTAAAGAAGCCTTAAAAATGTTTACACCTGTTTTATACTCCTTGTGAATTCACCAAGAACAATGGGAACAATTCAAGTAAGCAAGTGGCTACATCCTGCTCTGCTTGAGAAAGAGCCTTCACCACACCTACCTCTTCAGAAGGGCACCTGCCCTTCCATGACAAATGTGCTGCAAGCACAGAGTATCTCTCTCTTGGTCTCTCTCACATGAATGTCTGCTCAGCCCTTCCCCCCAGCAGTGATTTTACATCTATATCAGCTGCTCTGGGTACTCAAATTGACCTGTCTACACTGCAACTCGTGACTGCTCTTGTTTCTTCCCTTTATGTCCTGATCAGAAGTCATTTTTCTGCAGGGAAGCAAAGAAACCTGCACAGGTCATGAATTCTGTGTGCACGCAATGACGCAAAATTCCCCAAGGAGTAACTGAGCAAGGAATAGCTGTTTAAGTACCATAGATGGACAGAACTTATCACCACAGATGGTGGAAATTTCCAGACTGTACAGAGGTTGACCATCCCGTTTGGAATATATCAGGATTAAGAATTATTATGAAATAGATTGTGCCAAACACCCTTGCAGTACAAAGTGAGATTTAAAGCCAGGGGAACCCAGAAACATTCTCTATCTGTCACATCTCAGTGTGGGGGTTTTAATGTGCAATGCCTTAGATAATTTTGAGCAGAGGCTGTAAGGGAGCAGAAGTTCTGATTGGAGGAAGCAATAAAGACATTCTCTGTCTCGGGAATCAAGCTCCGTGGGGACCTCACACCGGTATGGATATACCTATTGTTACCTGAAGGACTAGGACTCACTAGCTTACTGGATTTCAGGGAATCAGTGCCGTGATAAGTAGACTGAGTCAAACAGCTGTGCCTTGAAATACAGAATCAATTTAACAAACCAAAGGAAATACACCTCTTGACTGTACTTCAGTGTTGCTTCATGAGTCAAAAACTGGTCCTCCTTCTGCCTAGAACGCTAACCTCTTGAATGATTACTTTGTTTTCATAGAATCATAAAATACTAGGACTGGAAGGGACCTCAAGAGGTCATCGAGTCCAGTCCCCTGCCCTCATGGCAGGACCAAATACTGTCTAGACCATCCCTGATAGAAATTTATCTAACCTGCTCTTAAATATCTCCACAGATGGGGATTCCACAACCTGCCTGGGCAATTTATTCCAGTGTTTGACCACCCTGACAGTTAGGAACTTTTTCCTAATGTCCAACTTAAACCTCCCTGGCTGCAGTTTAAGCCCATTGCTTCTTGTTCTATCCTCCAGAGGCCAAGATGAACAAGTTTTCTCCCTCCTCCTTAGGACACCCTTTTAGATACCTGAAAACTGCTATCATGTCCCCCCTCAATCTTCTCTTTTCTAAACTAAACACACCCAATTCCTTCAGCCTTCCCTCATAGGTCATGTTCTCTAGACCTTTAATCATTCTCGTTGCTCTTCTCTGGACCCTCTCCAATTTTTCCATATCTTTCTTGAAATGCGGTGCCCAGAACTGGACACAATACTCCAATTGAGGCCTAACCAGTGCAGAGTAGAGCGGAAGAATGACTTCTCGTGTCTTGCTCACAACACACCTGTTAATGCATCCCAGAATCATGTTTGCTTTCTTTGCAACAGCATCACACTGCTGACTCATATTTAAACCTGACTCATATTTAAACATGTTTTGTATGCTTAAACCCGGAAACAAGTTCCTAGAGCAAGCGATGGACAGCTCCTTGCTCCTGATTCTGCCATTGGCTGGAAGCACGACTTTGGGTCTCGTAACTCACCTGTATGTAAATTGGAAATCTTTACGTATTTCCCTTAGTCTATCTCCCAGCAGTGCTGTTGTGAGGCTTAGTCAATATTTGTTGGCCACTTTCCAGTCCCATTTCAACCAGCTACTGAAGCAGGTGCCCAATTGTCAGCATCTAAGTAGTTCTATAAAATAAATGCTCAAAATTAGGCTCCTGCTGTCTGAGGGCCAGAGAGCTTTTGATGGAAAGTGGCATTGTGGAAAAGCAAGGTATTATATTTCCACCAGATGTCAAGTAAGCATGGGATCAACCAGCATGGAGACTATTTCCTTTACAGGTAAACTCCAGTCAAATACCAGCTCACCAACCTGTAAAGTAGGCCAAATAACTGATAGAAAGGAGCTGGCCTCTCAGGCTATTGAATCACTCAGTTACCTCCAGAGTTTTTAAATCTCATTTAATATGTTTCTCATTAACACATCCATTAGTCCACCCATTACATGGGGTTCATTCCTTTGCTGAGGTCACCGACCTGATAAAATCCAGAAGCTCCTGGCAAATAGCTTGATGTGTGCAACTGACACAAAGTTTGAGTCATCTGGACACGTTCCCTCCTACCTCAGCTAGTCTGCAGAACACAATCACACCACAGTGACTTTGCACTTTGTTTACTTTGTCCCAGTTATCCAGCGCAAAGCTGTGATGTCTGTTGTTTGGGTTGATAGCTTAACACTCTGCTGTCTAAGCAATGAAGCGACTGGTGTTCATAACACCGTATCTAACTATATTTCCTGTTCTCTGACACCAGATGCAGTAAATTACATTTACTCCCAGATCCCCGAATTCCCAACCTTCTATTCACGTCCAACAGAGCCAGTTCCTGGGAGGGACGGATCAAACCGGGTTACTGGTAAGTCTCAAGGAGCTCTGTATTCTGTCAGCCAATCCCGTAATACAAAGCTCTGTGTATGTATATACCTTCTGGGACCGATGCCCAGATATAGTTTAAATGGAAGGAAATGCTACATGATTTTTAATCTGTGAACAAGTCAAGGGCTCTTTTGAGCAGCAGCAAGCAATTTCAGACTCGGTTATTTATATTACGTACCTTGTGAGTCCTAAAAAGTAGCATTGTACGCTTGGCAGATTTTTTTTAATGGAAGTTTTCGACTTCATTCTTTTTCCATCTCTGCTGATGTAAATCTATGAAATCTAGGCCATGATAATAGCACTTTTCCTGCTCCCACACAACTTCCATTGAAATGAATGAGAGACACAAACATGCGCGAGTGACCCAAAATGTGCACAAAATCTTACAGAACAGAAAGAAGTTGTTTATTTCACTGCAACGTTTAACTCTGTCCGGGGGCAGGAAAAGATGCCACTTGGCTTTGTGTTTTAGGCTGAGGTTCCAGAATTTCAGCTTTAGTTTGTTTCTAAACTGGAGCAATTTATGAACAAGATCCTAGATGTTGTTTTCTTTCATATTTTCACTGTTGTTCCAGTCTATCCATGAAATAGGCAGCTTAAGACGTCATTATCTCTTCCCAGAGTGGCAATAGCGAAAGATGGTACGTTCCAATTCTTTCATGCAGCAAGTGTGTAGATTGGAGGTGCTGTCCATACATGGGACGCTTCATTTTGGTTGAACTCCTCTTTCCCAGGCACTCAGAAAGCATATCCCAGTGCAAAATCGGATCTACTTTTGACTCAGATTGATACATCCCATTTGCCTGTGTGTTTCTAGCTCCACTGTGTCAAAACCATGAAAAGAATTGTCTCTGTCAGATGACCCAAAAGCTAGACCTAATTGTGTATTTCTTTGATAACTGGACTCCATGCACTTCTATGGTTTGAAGCACAGGTGAAGCAGCACATATACAGTCAAAGATGATTAAACAAACATGTTTTTTATTACCTGTTTAAAGATTGTGCAGAACATCTTTTTAAAAAGTAACAGATTCACTCGACCTTTTTCGAAGACCGTTTAATAGGCAGAAACATTACTCAGTAAGATGTATTCTGGTGTCTTATTCTTATGAAATACTAAATCAGGTTACATTGGAATGAAACTTGTACAGAAAATATACTTACATTAATGCAGGCTCATGTCTTCAAGTACTGTTGGGCTTTCAGCCCTTCACCGTCAACCAGCTTTGAACCATATTCATTAGTTGTGCATTTTGCAGCTTGATAAGCACGGCAAAGATAAAAAATTAATAATGTTGGTTTATTTTTCAACATCTTATATTCCTCGTTTCACATTTTATGTGCCAGCAGATTAACAAAAACAAAAGTTAGCAAAGTTCTCTTGTTCTGCTTTTCCCATGGGAGTATGTTTCAGCAAGGGTCTGTTTCTAATTGTGAAGTATTTGCTTGTATCAATAGGATTTACTCACAGGAGTAGTTTTAGTCAAATCATTGGCACTGCTTCTGTGCATGAGAGCTAACTAATGTAAGGGTCCTGGGTGTGGCATTCTGAAATCAACCTGACGGGAACAAAAGAATATATAACAATGACAATAAGGTGCCAAGTCAGTGCCTTAATACAACCCACACCCATTAACTTTCTAAAACAGATAAGCAGTGGGAAAACAGTGCCTTCCTTCCAACTAGTGATTTAATGGTCATTGATTGACACTCTTCTCTATGTTGTGAATTCTTTTGAAACTCTGACCCTAAATGCCTAAGAGATCATTGTACGTCAAGAGAAGATGTCTGGATAAAGAGCTGCATCTTGTAATTCTTTCTAAATGTGGACAAGTCGATACTCACTTGTATTTCTAGAGACCTTATTCCAAAAGGGAAGAACCTCTGGGTCCTGCAAAGTCAGCTATAGATGTCAGCACCATTCCTCCAGCCTTCCATAGGTGTAACTCCCGTTGATTTATTTTCTGCATTACACAATGTGAGCTCGCAAACCTCAGTGACACCAGGCAGTGCAGTTAATCTCCAGATGGAGAACTGAGGCACAGAGAGAATAAGGTCCAAATCTGCAAAAGGTTCACAACTCTTGAAATGATTAGCATGTCTGAAGCAGACGTACTATTTGAACAAGACAGCAACTGTTGCATCACTGAGCGCTGAAGTGTTTGCTCTCTAAGAGCCTCAGTGTGCCAGAGGGGTCAGGCGACTTGCCTGATGTCAGACACCCTATTAGGGCAGAACCAGGAAGCCCCAGGACATAGCCCCCGGGTGGGCAACCTGCGGCCTGCTAGACAGTTTGTTTATATTGAGTGTCCACAGGCACTTCCCCCCACCGTTGGCAGTGGCCACAGTTCACCGTCCCCAGCCAACGAGAGCTGCAGGAAGTGGTGGGCCACAAGGATGCACCGGCAGATACTCAATGCAAACTGTCTCTTGGCCAGCCAATGACTTACTCTGAAGGGCTGCAGGCTGCCCACCAATACTCTAGCCCCTCGATGACACTTCCTCTCTGAAATTACAGCCCAAAACAAGCAAGCCCCTGGGCAGTAATACTGGGGCTCTGCTTCCCTTTTGTTTAATTGTCTCAAAGGTCTCTGGAACTTGGATTTGAGGTTCACACAGTATCTACGCAGCTAAGACATTCGAAACACTACTCTCAGAGATCCCAAAATGGGGACAACCCAAATGACAGAACCAAGCTCCTCGTCACGTATTGTTGCTAAGCAGGCACACGGAGATACCAAACCCAATCCGCCAGTGAAACAGCAACAAAGAATACAAATCAGGGTTCTGTTGTAAATGCTCAGCACTGACTCCAGGCCCGCCCCAGTGCTACTTTCACACAAGTGCAGAAAAGTGGCCTAGGGGCCCCTTGTTCCAGCCATTTGGTCATGACTCAAGCAACAGCTCACAATGCCTTCCTAACATTGGGCAGATCACTGAGGGATATGGCGGGTTAAACTGGTGGCCCAGGCACTGTAACCTCAAGAGAGATTTCGGGAGCTCATAAACCCCCTCCAGTCTGCAAATGTGTGTTGCCCAGTGTGTTACACTGCTCTCTTGCTTGGAGACCTAATGACAGTCACCCCCGGCAGCGTTCCTTGGCATGCCCGCTAATCTAGCAATTCGTAAGGGTGCCATGTAGACTCGGGCAGCTGTGTTTTTTCCTTGTTAGTAAGCCATAAGCATTCCTACATCAGAGAGATGTCTCGCTCAGCTGCTGGGCACTGGACAGAAAGCTGAACTTGGAAGGCACCTGGGTGGTGACCTCACTCAAGGAGTCCCATGTAGCAGGAATAAGAACTAGCAGCCCCTCCCCTACCCTTTTGACCTCAGCTCTTGTCTTTGAGAGCAAAGGCATGGGGGAACCTAAGGAGAGGCTGTGCGAAAACTGACCAAGCACTGAGATGTAAATCACTACATAAGAACAACTGGGATATGAATGTCCTGCTGTATAAAGGCAGTAGGGATATAGGACACCTTCACTGTGGCTGCTCAGAATTTCACTGGCTGGAATTTCAGATGCATGGTGCAGAGCTCCAAGTGGCTTACAAGTGTTTAATGCAGGACTGGATATACCGAGGTGTGCAGAAAGAAGTCCACTATGCACAGTATTATATGTTCCCTCTGCTTATGACAGAGTTGGGCGGAACCTACACATAAGCTTGACAATATGGTTGGGAGTAGGAAAAATTGAAAACATGCTGGGTAATATTTACATTGCCACTATTTTATATTTTACAATGTATATGGATTGTATTGATTATCCCTCTTAGAAGGTGCAGCACTGTTAATGGATAGAGTAACAGTTTATCTGATGGGGGAAGGGGTTGTATTTACCAATAAGCGACTATTGCCCCTAGTAAGAGAAATCTGTTGTGGTCCATTGAATTGGAATGATCATGAGATGGTACAGTAACAGCTAGCGGGTCCATTGAATTGGAATGATCATGAGATGGTGCAGTAAGTTTCACAACAGCTAGCAATAACTCCCACCCTGGTAACTGCAATTAATTGTGTGTTTGCACCTTCTAAGGAGATCAAATGTTTTCATCTTCATGCAAGGAGCGCTTAGACAGACAATTCTCATTCAGGCAAGCTGTGAGACAGCTTGTACAAGTTGTACCCTGAAAGTCAACCTACAGTTTGCACCATAGTCTTCTTTCAGAATGATGGCTGGATTTATCTGTGTGTGGGTTGCCTGCCTACCCCACTGTGTGGTGATCACAGTGTTCTTCTTGTTAGTGCCCCTTTCTTATCTCTTTATGCTAGGGAATGTTTTCTTTGTTAGGCTAGAATTAGTGTGTATATATATTACCTTTTATCTGGTAGGGATGTGAACAGGTAACCAGTTAGCTGGTTACCCAATAAGCATCACCGTTTCCAAGAGATGCTAACTGGTAACCAGTTAACCAGTGCCTGGGAGCCATCCCCCCGCCTGTGGTATGCCATAGAGAAAGGGCTGCTCTAACCCAGCCAGGCCCACCCCATGGCGAGCTAGGGCAGGCAGCCAGCAGCCCTATATGGCCGGGAGTCTGCAGCTGGCAACCGTGCAGGCTGGGGGCGGCTCTAGGCCCACCATGGAATCCCACTTTCTCGGTTAATCAGTTAAACATAACGTAACATTTAACTGGTTAACAGATTGAACAGGATTTTACATCCCTATTACTTGGTCAAGATCTGAAATCAAATTCACCCCTATATTGTCTCTGCTTTGAAAACAACGTTGAGGAACCCATATGAAGGATTGACCTGGGTACTTAACGTACTTTTTTTTTTTAATATCTACTTTTCATTACAATCCAAATATTAAAAACACACCTACCTGCCTTAAGTTATGTACTGATCCAATGGACAGAGGACTGACTGAGAAGCCAGGATACCTGAATTCTATTCTGAGGTCTACCTAAGGTGTGAGCTGGGCATGTCCCTTACATGGTCTGTGCCTCATCAGTGTAGCAGGGGTAACACCAGCCCCCACGCTTTGCAGAGTGTTTTGAGAGCTACGCCTGCATGGCATATATTGCAAAAAGTATTCCAGAATAAAACAAGCTGCCAGGGGACAGTTTATTCATTCCCAAATTTGCTGAAAATGGGCGGATCCTTCTTGGAAACTGAGGCAAGCACACAGATGGCTACGGCAGACTTGCATGCTGTCCTCTCCTTGGGTCAAAAGTTCACCATGAGCCCACTTAACCCAAATGCTCCTCACACTTCTAATGGACCAGAACCCCTTCTGCACAGACTGAGTTGGAAAAGTATCTCTGTTTGACAGCAGGAGTAGCTAGCACCCATCTAGAAGAATTGTAGTGCCATAACCAGCTCTGTGATCAGTGTGCCCCTCACTTCTAACGTAGAATGCTTGGCTCTGCAGAAATAGCTTTGTAGGCCATGGGCATGGTAGTTTTCTCTGTCTGTTTGGCAATTAACCGTTCACTGGCTTTTTTTGTTGTAACATGCACTTCCTCTCTTGTTTTCATTCAAGCTTTGCACGCCATGGAAATTAATGTGGAGAAAGACAAACAGACCAGAGAGACCAAGATTCTCTCTGCATCACCCATTGGCCAAGAGGGGGCCCATCAAAGAAGATTCAAAGTCTGTGATGATGGTACCAAGGTAGTCTATGAGGTTCACGCTGGAAACACAGTGGTAGAAAATGGAGTCCACAAATTAAGCTCAAAGGATGTAGATGAACTTGTACAGAAAGCTGGACAATCAAGTGTAAGAGAAAAGACTGTGTCTGCCAGGAATGTGATAGCAGATGGAAACCTTGCCCATGTGAAGGAACAAATGCTCTTCAAAGAGGCAAAACTAGAAATGGTACATAAACCTATCAAAGGGAATTCTGGGAATCCTCAACACCAAGCAAAAATCTCTGGAGATGAAGTCCGGGAGGCCAGCATGGATCAACCTGTGACAATGATTTTTATGGGTTACCAAAACATTGATGATGAAGAGGAGACAAAAAAAGTGTTGGGCTATGATGAAACTATCAAGGCAGAACTGGTCCTCATCGATGAAGACGATGAGAAGTCCTTGCGTGAGAAGACAGTGACTGATGTATCCACCATGGATGGAAATGCAGCCGAACTGGTCTCCGGAAGGCCTATGTCTGACACAACAGAGCCCTCCTCGCCAGAGGGGAAGGAAGAAAGTCTGCCCATGGAGCCAGTCCCAGGTACAGAAAAGAAAAAGCGCTGTCAATGCTGTATTATCATGTGACCACTTCTTCCTTCCTTGTTCTGAGAAACACCTGCTCCATCACTTACTTTGACCTCATGGTACTTCTACCTGCAATACTGTGAACTGGAAGTGAATGCCTATTGCCTTGCTGATGGGTTGCTTTGATTTCTAGTTCTTCAGGAAGATTCACACACGAATATGATTTTCTCACCAAACATGTTGATTTTTTTTTCCAGTTTTTAGAGTAAGAGAAAACGGGGACGTGAACAAATGCTTTCATATTTATTTGATTTTATATAAAAATATATATATAAAGAAAACACTTTTTATATTTTACTTTAAGAATCTGGCAGTTATGATCATATTCCCAGTGTTTTGTGGGAGTTTGAATTTCACAGTAGCCAGGTATGAGAGCCTTAAAAGAATCATGTTTTAACATTGTTTTATAGATTTTTTTTTTTGGATGGAGGGAAAATAGATGATTTTATCATTTTAATTTGCTAAAACCCAGACACACCTGTCTCCAAATGTTTGCATAATTTTGTTTTATATTAACTTTGGAGTTCCTTTTGTGGCATCAAAAAAATGCCATAGGCTATTTCTGCTTATTGGTAAAACCAAAAGTGGACCTTAATTATTCTTTCTATCAAATCACAAATGATGATTTTTGCCTTACATAAATCTTCCAGATTACAGTATTGTGCATCTACTTCATCTCTTTAAATTACAGTGGAAATTACCTTGACATCAAAAATATCCAGCTGTCATCACAAGTGAACTGTAGTTACTGGTTTAATTACTTGCCTTTCAGTAACTCTGCCTATGTTTATTGATGAGATTTTTCTGCTGAGCACCGGCATATGAGAGATACTAGTTTTCTGTTTCCTTCAGACATGAAGCATTTTACTGTCTGATCTTGCTCCCAGTGAAGTGAGTGGCAAAACACCCACTGACCTCAATGGGAGAAGGTGCAGGTTTTCACTGTGTCCTTCCTGTCAAAGAAGCATTTCTTGATACTTGTACTCAAGATAAACGTATACACTTCTAAACCTAGCACCTGACCCTCCCATCCATACTCAGGCAAAGCTTCCATGGAAACACATTGGAGTGTTACTTGAGTAGATATTTCAGAAGGCAGGATTATGTTGATTACGCCAAGATTTCCCAAAGTGACTAGTGCTTTTGGATGCCTCATTTTTTTGGGAGGGGGGGAGGGAGTAGTCCGCTTAATTCGAGGCACCTTAGATCAGCTTGATTTTCAAAAAAATTTCCCTTGCCCTCTGAAAATTCAGACCCTTCTCAAGCATCTCAAATAGAAAATCCCAAATGCTGAAGCATCCAAAATCATTAATTGGTTCTCAAAGTCTTGGCTTTTCGATTCTACTGCTGTATCTATAGTGGAAAAATCCACTTTTTCATGGCAAAACTATGGCCCTGGTTCAAACCTTAGTTACACTGGTTTTACACCAGTGTAACTTGATTGACTTCAGGGGCACTAGCCCAGTACAAGTGAGATCAAAAGCAGCACCTATAATTTTTGGCGGTAAAATATTTTCACTCTTGATAATTATGTCACCAGACATCCCCCCACAAAAAGAAGGGAAAAAAAGGAAGAAAAGGGAAAAAGGAAAAACAAACACACACAAAAACCGACTTTTTTCTGAGCCGTGGTGGCTTCTATGACGTTTCTACTCTTTCTTGGATGGTGTTTTTACTGCATTAACATCTGATTAAACAGTTCTTGCTCTGAACTCTTTTCTTTCTGTGCCAGTAAGATGCACTTGTTTGTGGTAACTATTTTATGAGACATATTAGAAAAAGGAAAAGAAAGGAAAAGGAAAAAGAGACTTCTTATGCTAGACCAGTTAGCCATTAATGGCAATCCTCTTATGTAACCTTTTACTGTTATCCTGTCAACCCTTAGTGAAAGGTAAATGAGGACTAGAAAAAGACAGCCACCACACAGCCACCAATGCATGTCGCCTGCTGAAATCAGACTAGCTGACACATTCACTACTGGTATTGGGAATATACCACAGGCCTGATGTAAAGTTCATTGGACTCCCATTGAGCATACACATCACAACCTAATTGAATTGTTGGAATTCTGCAAAGTATTACTCTAGATTTCCAACATTTTTATCAGGAAAAAAAGTTGTGGGCTGATCCCATGCTTGCATGCTTGCTAACCTTTCCGTCCTGTGACCCTTGTGTAGCCTTGTTTTTTAGAGTTGCTGATACTTCTCAAGCCTCACCCAGACTAGGGATGTAATAGTGTAGTCAATTAACAGATTAACCAGTAAGCAAAAGCTTATAGGTTAATGCTATAGACTACACATAGTTCCCTCACCTGCCCCTTGCCAGTAAATTTTTTTAGCAGGCTGGCCAGCTGCCCAGCTCTCTTCTGGCTTGTGACAGGTCTGGGACCTATCTCTGCATTTAGAGGCCTGGCTCAGTTCCAGCTTGCACTGGGTGTGGGAACTCAGAGCCTCCTCTAGACAGTGGCTACTGTCATCCCTCGCCGCTGCCTCTTTATCAGAGGCAGCAGAACTGGGCAACAGACAGCCCAGTCTGTTGTCTGCTGGTTTGTAAACTGGCTCCCCTTGCAGACCAGCTCCCGCCTGGCACCCCGGACTGCTGCCTCGGATACAGAGACAGCAGCGCAGAGCACTGGCTGCCGGAGAATAGTCAAGTAACCAATAAGAATTCATGCAGTTACTCGACTGTTCAATTAACCGATATTTAACATCCCTAACTCAGACTCATCTAGGCTGTCCTTATACCTTCCTGTAGGCACCTTTAGTCACATGCTCCCTTATTACATGTTCCTCCTGTGCCCACTACCCTTGAAAGTCCAGACACACTGAGACATGCATGTTCCCAAGGATTAGGGCACTGTTATAATCACAAGGTCAGTGGGAGCTACAGGTTACGTTGGAAAGAAAGAAGTGAGTCTTTATTGGTTAGAAATAGAGCACAAGCCTTAGACTTTTATTTCTCATACTGCCAAAAAGCTATTATTCGGTTATTGCAACTAATATTTAATGTCCCTAAAGGCCAGTGTGTTGCATTCATTCATGTGGACATCATGGTTAATGGGACAGTGTTAAAGTAGAAAAAAAATGTTCCCCTAAACTCACAGGCCCAGGTCTCCAGCTAAATTACCATAGCTGGCCCTAATATTTTTAGTTCTTAGCATTGTCTGGATGTTAGATTTTTTTTTTTCATTTTAACCGCCTTTCATTAAATTGCAGCCTCTATTGAGACTCCAAACCCATTAACATAGGCTAATGAATGTAAACAGGGTTTCCGTGGCTTCTTTGCACTTCAGAGTAGGTTAATTTTCCTCCACCCCTAGACATTCGATATCCTGTGGGAATATGTGCACAATCAGACACAAAGGAAAGGGTCCACTTTATGAAAGAAGCAGAGATAAATTTCACGTTGAGACTTCATAAGGATCAGGATGGGTGTTTTCTGTTTTGTTCTAAATAAGCTCCCTGTCTCTGATTAACTTAAGAAGCCGAAAATATGCTCATTTGCAATTTCAGCATGAAAAGATATTTACAAAGAAACAAACAGAAATGATTCTGTGACAGCATTTTTGCCACAATAAACTGTTCGCCTTAACTTTTGTAAGAAAAACAAAAACAAAAATACCAACTTTTCAGTGTATCTTTTCCTAGACTGAAAAAAAAAGACAAAACAAACAAGCAAATAGCCTGTGAAACTCTTTTATATTTTGTATTTTCTAAGTTTCTACAGATTTCCTTTTCATGCCATGTCCAGTTTTCATCAAGGGACTATTGTCTGCAACTGTTTTTTAAAAATGAAGAGAAAAAATGCAAAAATCATGAAACACATTATTCTTAGTGGCCAGGCGATCCCTTTTAATTATAAGAACATCAGTACAGAAAGGAAAGAATTACAGGGTTGTTTTCTTTTTTTATTCCCGTGGCTGATGTACTGTATGCTACATGTTTACAGAATTCTTCTGGTCTGCCTTTGTGATGTTATCTAAATGAATGACAAAAGAGGCATGATGTGCCATTTTACAGTTTGCCTTAGAACTCTTTAATTTTTCTTCTTCTTTTTGTTTTTTCCCCATTACAGGCTGTATTCCAAAGCTGTATAAAACACAACATTGTCTTTCAATCCCTGTGGTGATATTAGAGTGTACAAGCCCTTCTCAATTAAGCGACTGAAGCTCAGTCCATAATGGTGCAATATAAGGCCCCAATCCTGAAAACACATTGGCATATGCTTAACTTTTCTTTGAGGACTCCCATTTTAATCAATGGAACTCCTTGCAGTAGTAAAATTACTCATGTGCATAAGTGTTTTCAGGATCAGGGCCTAAAAGATTAACACAGGGTGGAGTTTGGGCATTATTTATGTACTCACTCCAGTTTTATGCACTGGAGTACAACCCATTGGAAGTGTAATCCTGAGATGTGTTGAGTGGTGCAACTCCAATTGACAAAAAATGGTGCTTACCATCGCTTAGGATCAGATCCTGGTTCAATAGCACTATATGGCTTTGTGGTCACTGCACTTGTAATGTTGAACTAACACTGAAATTTTACTGAAGACTCTTCTGACAGTTTCTCCCCATTCTAGACCAAGTTAGCCAACACAGAGGGTATCTCAATACTAAAAAGAAAAATAAACTGAGCAAGTGACTTAGTGGGAGCACAATGGTGCTTCCAAAAAGAAGGGTTCTTAATTAGGGGTGCAGTGCCTTTTGGCTGAGTCTAATGTTGAAGTTGCATACTCTGAAAATAAGAGATAATAGAATAGAAAATTTAGTATTCACATTTGTGCATTTTTAAGGAATAATATTTTTATAAGGAAATACGGATCCTGAATAGGGTTTGAATTTCAGAACACAAGCATACCCATCACACTGAGTCTCTTAAAAATTTTCATACTCTGATGATAACGCCCAAGTTCTTGGGATCTTTTGTAGACGGAATCTCACCCTTAGACCTGAAAGCAGGTCCGCAGTTCTTTTTAGAGGGCATGTCTACACTGGAGAGTCATTTCAAAATAATTCCCCTTATTTTGAAATAACAAGGCGAGCATCCACACTACCAAGCCTGTTATTTTGAAATAACAGGCTTGTTATTTCAAAATAATAACTCCTGCTTGTGAAGAAGCTTATTTCATAATAGTTATTTCGGGAGTTATTATTTCAAAATAACTTATTTTGAAATAACCTAGTAGTGTAGACATAGCCTTATAAATCCAATTGAGGGCATGTCTACACAGCAGGGCTAAAGTTGAATTAAGCTACATAACTTCAGCTACATCAATTGCGTAGCTTAAGTTGAAATAGCTTAACTTGGCTTTTGGTGCTGTCTACACAGCAGGAAGTCAAAGGAAGAACACTCTTCCTTCGACTTCCCTTACTCTTTCTGAAATGGGGGTTACCATGAATCAGAGTAAGAAGTCCTCCAGCTCACCATTATTTTGAAATAATGGCTTGTCGTGTAATGTCAGTTATTCCAAAATAACATTGCTGTGTAGAAATGCCCTTAGTCAATAAAGTTATACTATAGACAAATTTGCCACAATGTCTTGACAACTAGATTAAAGAGTTTGAGGTGTTTTACAACCTCAAATTTTATTTCTAGTGAGACCTCTAAGAAGTTAATAACTACCTGTTAATTAAAGAGTGAGAGAGGAATGATGGGGAAAAGGGCAAAAATGCTGTGATTTTTTTTCAATTTTTTCCCCTATCTTACCAAATTTGATATTTGCCCAGTGTCAAAAACTTGAAAAAGTGGAGGTGGGGAATGATTAAAAAAAAATTGATGATTTTTCCGATTTGATTTTTGAATGTCAATCAATTTTGACCAGTTGTCTGTCTCTAGCAACAAATTCAGGTGTTGCTCAGATTATGCTGAGTCCGATATTTTGCTATCATTAATAACTTTTTGCTCTGAGTTAGGATTACCGTGGAGTCTCCTAGAATTAAAAATTAACCTTTCATTAAAGATTATGTCATATGATGAAACCTCCAGGAAAATGTCTAACCAAAATTGGCAACCTCACACTGAGTTTCAATGATAGATCACTAGCAATGGAAGCCTATAAAAGACACAGTGTTTTATTTTAATTTTGTACGTAAACCAGAAAGCTGTCTTCTATGAATGCTCTAACCAACAGGTGGGGAACCTTTTTTTGGTCAGGAGCCATTGACCCACAGAAAAATTAATCGGAGGCCACACACAAGTAAAAAGCAAAACAAACAAGAAAAGGGAAAAAAAAACCACTTCACTCACCATGCTCCCAAGCAAGAAGCAAAAAAACCCTCACTCACACTCAACGTCAGGGCTTGCTCTGTTCTGGCCAGCTAGCTCTCACAGCCCTGCAGGGGTAGCTGATGCTCAGGGTTTCATTCCCCACTCCTGCTATAAACTTTAAACTATGAATGGACTATGATTTAAACCAAAAAGAGTGTAAATCCATCATATAATGTAAACACATGATATAATATTCAGCTTGTACATATTGAGAGGAATGCATGAAGTCTATCCCACTTGTAGTTAAAAGGACAGATAAAAATGCTGAACAAACAAGTTTTCAGATTGACTTTGACACACACACACACACCAAGCTTACCACTGTGCTCCCTAATTTTGGTCTTTTCTGGAAAAGAACCTTTTGCCAGTATACACAGGGGCTACGTTTAGACTGACATGATTTTCCGCAAATGCTTTTAACGGAAAAGTTTTTCATTAAAAGCATTTGCGGAAAAAAGCATCTACATTGGCACGAACACTTTTCTGCAAAAGCACTTTTTGCAGAAAAGTGTCTGTGCCAATCTAGACGCGCTTTTGTGCAAAAAAGCCCCGATCGCCATTTTTGCGATCAGGGCTTTTTTGCACAAAACAAATCTCAGCTGTCTACACTGGCCCTTTCGCGCAAAAGCTTTGCGCAAAAGGGACTTTTGCCTGAATGGGAGCAGAATAGTGTTTCCGCAAGAAGCACTGATTTCTTACAGTGTGAAGCGGCCAGTGTAGACAGCTGGCAAGTTTTTCCACAAAAGCATTTGCTTTTGCGGAAAAACTTGCCAGTCTAGATACAGCCATTTGGTTCAAAAAGCCCTCCAGATCAGCCACTTTCCTGCTATGCCAGCCTCACTCAGAGAGGCCCTGTCTATCAGGAACAGGCAGCCTTCCTGGCATGTGAGATTTTAGACTTTCCTAAATCTGTTCTTGGGTTTGCACAATAATGTTTTATTTGTAAATCTGCTTTTCCTGCTACTTAACCCCCACATTTTTCTCAAAGGATTCTTCATATTTTTTTAAGAT